TGTGGAAGTAATGGAGCTGATTCATCTCTCTCTCCAGATTCCATTGGAGACTGCACGTTTGAAGGTTGCATGTCGTCAGGCTTCGCATTCATGCTAGGAGCGTCACCATTGCCACTGATGATGGTTTGGAATTGATGCGGCCCGACTGTTGACTTGTCCGGCACAAACCAGAATCGACCATGAGGACATCTGAATAGTTGAGCTCTGACTCCAACCGGAGTGACGTAGATCTGCAGCCATTCTCGATAAGTGGGGATCAGGGTTTTGACAAAGTCACTCAACAAACTTGCAGAATAGCGCTCCATCCATTGCGTTGGTACGTAGAGGTATTTGAAACGAAGTGGCCCGAATCCTGGCATTTCACCCTCTCGCGCTTCGTTTGTGGAATGCGCTTGTTGGTGCTGAGATGATGCAACTGGGTGTGTTGACAGTGGCGCACCTACTCAAACTATTGGAGACGATGGTGGTGTAGGGTCTGGTGATTTCGGAGATTGAGGTGAGAGCGGAGCTGCTGAACATGCCATTGGTGATGGGCATGTTGGAGGTATGGGAAGTCCCGCTCCATCGGTCTCACCAGGGTTAGATATTTGGAATGCAGGTGGCGCTTGTTGAGCATTCAGCTGATCGCAGTCATCGACAAATTCTTTCCCTTCTGGGATGAGCCAATACTTCCCATCAACACATAAGAACATTTTGACCGTCACTCCTGCGAGTGTAGCATACAGCTCACCACCTGGTGTATACGACTCAACCATCGTATCCAGAAGATCGTTCATCTCACTCCATGGGCGGGTAGAAATCCACTATCGTGGTATATTCATCACAACAAAGAAATTCTCCATCTCAAAATCTAAACGGAAATGGATAGAATTAGTTTAGAAAAATATTGATTTATGATAATATATAAGTTGGGAAAATATGGAATAATTATAGTGCAGTCAATAGGTTCTAAACAATTTGAATCAATTCTCAATATGTTTTGTAATGATTTTTCTTTGGCCTCAACAAATACTCAATAAACCCTAACCCAGAAGTCTCGATTATCCAAACACGGCCAACTCATTACCTTCGTTCTCGCAATCCGACAAGTCTGAAACGCCAAAAACCTTAACGCTAAAACTGGACTCCGGGAACAATCAGCAGCTCATCCAATCCTTACTTCGTGTATTTAGGGCGCCAGCCAATTTTTAGCAACGCGGAATCGACAAACCGCAAACGGAACTGTATTTTCTTAAAACTAAATACTGATTGTCCCCAAAAATCCAATAACGACAAGAAACATATCGCAAACCATACGCAGAAATGTGGATTACGAGGGTACGGGATTTACTCGGCTGCTCAGTGTGCGGGTCGTGGAGAGAGGGGTGGATTCGTGGACCAGAACATCAATTAACAAAACCAATCATCGATCGAGAAACCAATAAACCAATGTCTTAAATTCCAAACGGGATAGGTAAGGTCGACATTAAATAATAAACACAATTGTACTGACGTGTTTCGCTATTGCCGATATTAATACAAAATCGTAAATTCATACAAACACAAAATTACATGAATGTGACTCAAAATAATTTTAAATACTTTGAAATGATCCATTAAACTCCAAAAGGACTCGAAAGATGCGAATAATAATTTTAAGTATGAAAAAGAAAGCGATCCCAATCCAAAGCTGATAGAGAGAAGCAAAGGTATTGTCCACGAGGGGAACACGAATCCGAGAGAGAGAGACTATAGGAAGGTAGCGTACGTGCGAGAGAGAACGGATGAGGTAGCTACGCGAATTCCGAATTCCGAATTCCGAATTCCGTAATCAGTCGAATTCCGAATTCTAGAGCGCCTGTGTAATGGTTTACTTAATTCTTATGCCATTTGGAACCCATTAAAATCGGGGATCTCCTTCACCGAAAGGGTAGCAAAAACGAGCTAGAGAGCTTGAATCAGCCACGTGGCTGATTTACCGGAAGGGAGCATTTCTAACCCGGAAATGGAGGTTTTCTCCATGATAATAGGTAGCTTACGATCTCCAATAATTTCTAAGACAATAGGTAGCTTATTCCTGAACGGAAGAGAGCTTAGATAATTTTATTGTTCTGGATTCCAACCATAAAGTAAAGATAACTAAAAGATAGCGTCCCCATGCCCAACCGGAATCCAAAACTCAACGAACGCTAGAGAGCATTAAAACGCGAAAAAGGTAGCTTCAGAACAATTCAGGTAGTATCATTTTTCCTCCAGAAGTCTCGTGAGTCGGAGTAATATAAAGAAATAGGTAGCGTAGAATAATTACGTAAAGAGAGCGAAAAAAGGTAGCAAGCAAAAAGGTAGCAATGAAGTAGGTAGCGAGTTGCATCAATCGCCGTAGCGAGACGCCTAAAGCATGAAATTTAGCCTAAAAGTTACGGTAGGTAGCCCTATTACTATTCGGATTTATTCAGGTAGCGTAATTATCACTTAAATAATCTCAGGTAGCTTCCAGGGAGCATTTAGGTTTGTTTGAAGAGTTTTCTGTCCTTCAAACCATGAGTATCGGTGTTGGCGTCATTCCGAGAGGTAGTGACGCCATTCCGCGTGGTCCAACTGCTCTATCGAAAAACGCACTAATTCACTGTTAATCACCTCTAAATAAGTACACGAGTACTTACCATGGTCTGGAGCGTTGATTTTGACTGAATTTGGATCACGGGGCCTCGATAATTACCTCGAAAGAGAACTTGTTCAGGGAGCTAAATCGACTCGTACCTCACTCTTAGTCGTCCGGGTGGATACTGTAATGGCGACTATCGCGTGTGTCCGCTCGGGCCTGTTGCATAGTGGTGGGGAGTCTGGGGGAGACTAGCCCCGTACGGTGCTGACTCGAGTGCCGGAGACGCGAACTATCGATTCCCGGGGTAATTGTGCGCGAAGTATTTAAAGATTTAAATTTAAATTCTCCTATGGTTGATTTTAATTATTTTAATTGAACAAAACTGTAATTACTTGAACTCAACGTGAAACTGAGATGGCGGAGCGGGTCTTCACTCCGTCTACGACCGGAATAAGGTAGCTTATCTACAGAGGGCACTCTCCGGAGAGGAATTAGGACTTTACCAACGAAAACTCAAACGCAAACGCAACTTAACTAAATTAAAAACCCAATGGCGATCCGTTTCGACGACTGGGATCGTCTCCACGGCCTTCCAACTGAAAGCCCTAACACTCTCGCTCAAGGGAGCGCAAGCATTTCAACTCGACCTATGTACTCACTCTATCGACAAACCAAAAGGGTTACAGAAAACACTGGGTAGCACATTATCTTGGCCAAATATCCCACGGTGATATCCTGATCCTTAACCGAATTTACGTAGGAAAATCTCAAAATTACTAAACTTTAACTCAACAAAAATGACTCGAAAAAAAGAAATATCTGCAAAATATCTGGTTTATTTAATGAAGTTATTTAATGAATATTATTATCAAAATTTAGGGAATCGATTCACGCGATAGGTAACCAATTTAGGTAGTTTTCCGAACTTAAGGTAGCTCTGAAGTAGAGTTAAGGTAGCAGGTAGCTCTAATTCTCCGTATAGATTTTTTATCACGACAAAAAGGTAACGGTTTATAAAATCTTACTCTCTCTCTCTCTCTCTCTCTCTCTCTCTCTCTCTCTCTCTCTCTCTCTCTCTTTCTATACATAAATATCCTGGAGTTCCGCAGGTGACGAATTCGCCTGGAATTTCGTCACAGTTTGAAATGCCAAAACTGAATCTAGAGAACTATTGTAGTTAAAATAATGAAAACTGACGAACACTAATCTGAATGAAAAATGAATCACATGAGTGAGAGAATCAGTCGAAAGGAAATATAAGAAATTGTCAATCACTCCTAAACACGAAAAAGTTGAAACCTGAATTGAAAAGTAAACACTGGAATTTGATTAAACATTCAATTATATGCATTGAAGACTTATTCGAGATTTGTCAATTAAATTGATTTGTTTATTAACTTTATTGTGAGAACATTTTCGGATCACTTCCCGCCACGTTGAAAACTTCATGAAAAATTGAAAACTGAATTGAGGAAATTGTAGGAACGTATGAACATCATTGAAACAAACTAGGGCGGATTCGATTCAAATAAACTTGAAAAAAAAATGTTTCACTTCAAAATTGAAAACTAGTTAGATGATCAAAAACATTTGACACATTGAGTCACAAACTTCAATTTCATTTCGCGAATTTCACTCAATTTCAGTTTATTCAACTTGCCCGGGATGAAAAAATCGGAGTCTTTTGGGGTGCGAAAGACTCGCGTCTGCGTCTCGGAGAAAGTATGGCTCAGCGCCACCAGCCATAATTTTGAAAGACTCGCCACAAATCTCTCAGCGTCTTGATCTGAGAGACTTTTGAAAGACGATAGAGGAAGGGTCTCCAAAGACTTTCGTCTTTGAAAGTCTTGCATATGAAATTGAAATCTGTATCACAAATTATTGAGCGATTAAACCTAAATTGAATGTTATTAATGATATATTTATTAATCAAGGGAACATACATTTTCATGGATAAATGCAGTGATTAATTGTTATCTTTGTGCAAGTAGCAGAATAACTCCCTCCAAATACTATTTGTCATTAAATAACTTGATGAGTTGAATATGAACGTTTATCTTCATATAAATATTGATAAAATATTATAGATTAAATATAGATAAAAATACTGTGGTACATGTGAGAGAAAAATCAAGATAATTCCATACTGAATGAAAAACAAAAATGACTTTCCCCCCAATAATTTTGAAAGTACTGCACGAAAATTCATGAGATAAACTGCAGGATCCTCAATCGGAATCTCAGGAATTATTCGGGTACAACAGGTCTCTTCTTCGGCAAAAATCCATTGGTCTCTTCTTCGGCAAAAATTTTCAAATAATGTTTTTTACTCAATTATCTTTTCGTTTTTCTTATCGTTTTCAAAACTGGAAATTAGAGAGGAAAATAAAATTCATATGATTGTCGTTTCTCATAGTTAATAATTTTGATACGAGACGGGATTTTTGTAGGGGGCCAGATCCTGTCCATTATTTTGTGCATTCGTCTGCTGTCCATAGAATTCAGCCTGGAAATTATCAGTTGAGTGCACATTGCCCATTCCACGATTATAAGGAAAATACTGGGGCTGTTGAGGGATCCCACCTTGATAATAGGCGTTCTGAGGATTCCAAGACTGCTGGTAGTTGAAATTAGCATTAAAATTGTGATGAGGCTGGAGCAATGGTTGAAATTCTTTAGTGAATGTCATGTTTTCTTTATCCCCATTGTTCATGACTTTCTGAGTGGGAGCAGTTGATGAATCATTGCCATTGGTATCAGGAGCAGCGTTGGGGGGAGGGATGGCTGAGACGTTAGTAGCAACTGCATTTATGGGATTCAAATTTTTAGGGCTCAAATGTTTTCTTGGTGTTACTGAAGCTGATTTACTAGAGGACTCACTCTCAGGAGCTCTTACATTCGGCACAGGCATTTTGTCATGTTTCTTTGCCTTTTTATCATTTATAGGACTGATATTATCCAGGGTATGGCTACTAAATGTTGATGAGCGATGTCCAAAAATGTATTTATCATCAATCTGACGTTTCCTCTTTTGCCCTTCAGTTGGAGTCGATGTTTTAGTTTTTCCAGTCCCCAAAGTTGCATTGAGACAATCAATAGAGAAATCTCCTGACCGACTAGTAAAACTATTATTCTGGAGTCCTGGAGGAGGCACCCAGTCATCCTGGTCCCTCTCTGAGGCAGATGAAGCATCTTTCGTCCCTGTCATTTGATTAACCCATAGTGAGCAACGTTCTAATTCAGAATCCCCATCTTTTCCATCATTAAATTGCCTTTTGACTGCCTTTCTAGTACGACGAACATTAATACCTGCCAATTCATCATTGGAGAATGCAATTTCCGAGGCAATGGACAAATCAGCAGTTTCATCGGAGCTGGAGATCGTAGATTTCGATATCTTAGGTTTTTTCTTCTTCAGGAGATTCTTTACCTGTTTACTTTGTCCCCTCCCACCTGTCTTCAATACCATCCCCTTACCAGTTCTCAGTGATCCACACATATTATTAACCATTCGAGTGAATGACACCTTATCAGAGAATTGAGTCTCTTGTGCTACGTAATCTGTAACAGAAAAAAATAATTGAATAAAAAAAATGATTGATTTTACGCTTAATTAATGCCGCAGTAAGCACTGAACTTAAAAACAAAATTATGTACCTTCTACTGCACGATACAATACAGGATCCAATCCTTCGTTTACATTACTCCCCCCTTTTGCACACATCCCCTTCAACTTGTCTTCTCCCTCTTGCCATTTTAATATTTGTCTTGCCAACTCTTTGCCGTCTTTTCTATGGTTGATTGTCATGGTGCTGAGCTGTCCATTGTTCGCCCAAACTCCGCAACGAGCCATCAATTCAATCTGGGTACGCGAAAATATCACAAAAGTTGAGATATCAGATTATTATTATTATTAGTGGAGTTGAATGAACGTATGGAAAATTGTGTATTCATTATACCTCCATGGGGCCAGGGACTCTCCACGATTGATGTTTCATCTCCATTTTCAAACTCTAGATACAAAAAAAGATGTGAATATGTGCGAATCTCACTAAAAAATACCAACAGTCAACGTTTCCATTATTTCAACGTTCATTACCTCTGGATTGCCGTCCTCTCTTGCAGATCGAGAGTTCAGCTGGTATTTCAAATGACCAAGTAGATGTTCAACGGCAAGAATTACCTCTGGTATTACTGTAACAAAGTTTGATGATGGATTAAAAATTATTGGTTTAATTTAATTATTTGGTTTACGTACGACATACGTCAATTTGAGGATAAAAATGACCATAATTATTCAATCCAGAATGAATCGCTATGAATGCCGATACCGTCGATCAAGAATATAAATAAATATAATTAATAAATATCTTTTTCGAAATGTAGCCAAGAAATTTTATTAAAAACTCTGTAAATTCCTCGACTCATCAATGAGAAAAGATTGGAAGGCAATCTTATGTTTTTGATTTCAAGAGGAAAAAAAAAATTCGTGTTTACTTCAAATAATATATAAGTGCAATGGATATTACCTGGTAATGATGCACACGAATCGCAGAGCACACAATTCCTTTTATCTCCAGTCTGAGAGTCATTGAAAGTAATTTCCACCTTTGAAGTATTTTTCTCTGCTGGGGGTTTACGGTCAAGTTCAGGTCCGCTCTGCCTCAGCTCTTCTCTACTGGCATCAGATTTAGTCGCACTTATATTCCCGTTGGATTTCGGTACTTTCTTTTCCGGATTTTTATCCATTGACTCGAGCAGGAATCGATCAAATTTTTGCTGGGTTTTCTGTTTAGCCTTCTTAGAATTTCTGTTATCCTTACATAACTCTCTTTTCTTTGCCCCATTTACTTCTAGACGATTTTTCGAACTCCTCTCAGTGGGTAATACCATCTCCCCTGTGCGTTTGTCAACGCTCAGCTTCTCCAGGTATTCTTTTGTTGAAAAATGATGAGATTTTGAATATTAATCCATTCCGACTTCTTTATCAATTACACTTCATCTCGAAAGAGAGTTATCTTGGGAAATAATGTCGTGATGCAGGGGCTGCGGACACTGATAAGCATACATAAGTCACCGAGGGTTACTTGAGGCATTTTTTCCTGTACCAGCGATGTCCGTTGGACTGTCAGATGCCGGATGAAGTGAAATTCGGAAAGATACACTTGACGAGGGCAGAGCAAGAGAGATTTGAAACGAAAGGAGATAGAGCAGTGACTTTTCGTGTGGCACATGGCACCAGCGAATAGAAAATAATTGAAATAGCATCATCAAGCCCATCAGCAGTTACGACAAAAACATTGGTCAATTTTTCCTAGCCGTTTGCAATTGATTCAACTACACTTCACACTTAATAAACATGGAATAAATATACAAATTTTTATACTTACTGCCAAATCGAACAATTTTCCCTTTGTGGTTAACATTCCCATATTTAATGTCCACAAAATCGCCTTGATTGGGCTTCTTGTTTGCTGGGAGTCGCATAACCTTTTCCTCAATGACTGCCGTCTTTTTATCCCCAGGGAAATATATTAAGACGTAAATTTTGGGTGTCCAAGTATCTCCTTCGCTGGAGATTATATTCCATGAACTTAATGTCCTCCCTCAGCGTTGGGTGGACGCCCGCGTCGACACCAAAGTCACTCTTATAGCACGTGTTAACCCAAATTGCTACATAAATTGATGAAAAAAAACATGTATCACTGGATGTAATAATCATGGACTCTGTGGGATCAATTTCCCACGGCTGAGCACGTGATTTAGACGCCGGTACCGATTTCTCAAGAATGATGCAATGGACCCACGAGGCTGCTTATCACCGTTCACCACCAATCAATGAACTTTGATTGTTCACGAAAACACTGAAATTAGGCTAATGACACTAAATATACACGTTTGCATGCTGCAGCACAGTGCGTGTGAACGTCGAGGGCCCCTGGCGTGCGGCACTATAGAGCCAATATGGCGGTCGAAGCAGGATTGACGCTCCTACCATACCACCAGAGTTAATTGTCGGATTGATGAAGTATTTTCAATGAAAAAAAAACTTATTAATTATTTACAAAATTCTGAAAAACAAATCTAATTGTCATTCCGAATTTTTTTTTGTGATACATGAGACTTTCTAATGATTCACGTATTAGTGAGATGCATTAGATTCCATAACTTCACCTGTCAATTCATTTTTACACACATCTCAAATGCCAGAGAAAATAATCACAGTCTAACCTAGCGGATTGGCTGATTACCTCAGTTAGAGTGTATTACGAATGAAAAATAATACACTGACCACCTTGATGAAGCAGTGAACAGTGAAAAATAGTGTGCAACAAAAACAATTCGTTGGATTAATCCTCTTAAAAATTAAGTGAAATCTACAAATTTAATCAGCGAGCTAGTACTTGCTGGACTAGTAATCATTGACATTGAATGTAATGATGACTGACAAAATACCAAAATCGAGACCCATTGTAATGGAAGATTATTCTCGGAGGAGCCTGCAGAGGATTGCCCGAGAATTCCGTTTGAATCAACTCAATGGTGATGGCTGTCATCAGCTTGAAGATAACTGTGAGGTAACAGAGAGGCACGATCAGCTTGAGGACAACTACGAGGAATTAGCCAGGTACAAAATTGTTGATTAATAGTCCTAGACATCACCAATTGGATTTGAAAAGAATGTCGTAAATGTAAACAAATGTACATCTTGTTTTCAGTGAATTATTACATAACTCGAATGGGGAAATTCGTGAGGTGACTGGAGTGCAACATGATTGTAATGGGATGGCCGCATCGTCTTTAAGTGAAGATGACGAGTGGTTTTGTGATCAAAATGGTATTAGTTATAATTAACGCTGATTTCATTCACTTTGCATGAGAGTTGGACGAGAGAAAAACACCGTTGATTTATTATTATATAGATTATAAAGTAATTACATGAGTGGAAACTCCAAGATTACTCAGAATGTGATATTAAAAAATTAAAGAAATCCCAAAAAGATTATACTCTGGTTCAGGCTACTGAGAAAACTATTCAATTCAGGAAAATTAGACGAGATTGTCGTAACTCCCTGGAAAATAAGAGAATGACTAGAAGGGTTAAATTGATTAAAAAATCGAAAAATTCAGTTGAACCAATGACAATTTGGTGTTAATTCTTCATTCATGTGACTGTCTGTCATGATTCCAATATGAACTTCAACTAATTCTACTTCACTCTCCTGTTTAGGCTACTGATAAGAGAATTTAATCTAAAAAAATCAGAAAACATTCTTGTAATCTCTTCTGAGAAGTGAGAGAATTACTAGAATTGTTCATTCATCACTGAATTCTTAAATTACGTCAGTAGAGGCTTCGAGAAAATTCAATATGGGATATGACAAAAATGGAATAAATATTTGATGATGTTTGTTGTGATATTTTGTATTTTCTTCCAAGCTCCAAATCTGAATCATTACAAATAAATTTAGTGTTTGCCTCAATTTTTCACTTTTTCTTTTCTTGGTGTAGATAAAACGGATGATGAGAATGACTTTGAAGACGCGGAGTTATGGCAAGAAGAGGACATGGAAAGAGAGTGGAATATAAGTGATGGAGAGGAAGATACAGAGGACGGAGAGATTTTTGAGGACTGTACGGATGAATCCAACATTATGGATGAAAGCGATCCGTTATTGTACGAAGGTGCAAGGATCACAGTGAGCGAAAGTCTTCTAGCTATCTTGAGTCTATTATTGCGACATTCAATGACTGGAGCTTGCCTGACGGATGTGTTAAAACTGGTGGAATACCATTGCATTGCACCGAATCATTGTAAAAAGAGATTAAATTTATTCAAAAAATATTTTCAAAATGTTTACGCACCGTTGAATTGACATTTCTACTGCTCAAGCTGCTGTTCGCCCTTAAATGTAGCTAAAGAGGTCTGCAATCAATGTCCTGCTGGTACTGAAGTATGCTATTTCATCGAGATTTCAGTAATTGATCAGCTCCAAACGCTGTACCGACGTTACGATTTCGTTCACCAGCTCCAGGAGCGGTTTAACAGGATAAAACAAGCTGAGAATAACTATGAGGATATTTACGGCGGGGAAATTTATAAAGAATTGAGCCAGTCTGGCAGTTTTCTATCAAATGCTAATAACATCTCTCTCACATGGAACACAGATGGCGTCCCACTTTTCAAGTCGTCAAATTTCCAGATTTGGCCGTTTTTTTTTTTGCTATCAATGAACTTTCCTTCAATGAGAGGACTAAGGAAAAAAATCTTCTATTGGCGGGTTTATGGTTTGGCCCAAAAAAACCATTTCCTGCGCTATTTCTTCAACCAATATCACAGAATCTGGCACGATTGAAGGATGATTGGAGTAAATTTCGAAGTGCCTAGTCTAGATACGTCAATCCTAGTGCAAGCTGCAGTCATTTGTGGTACTTGCGATCTTCCGGCGAAAGCTTTATTCTTGAACATGAAGCAATATAAAGGCGAGTACGGCTGCCAAAAATGTAAAATCCGTTCAGAAAGATACTGAGAGACCTCTGTACGTGTTTATCCATTCCAGCGGCATTTAGATGATCGTACTCAGGACGAGACTGATGAATTTGCAGCACGAGCTGTGCAATCTGGAGAAGCCCCCCATGGTGTAAAAGGACCAAGTGGAGTCTCCAGAATCTCTCAAAATTATATTCGAGGCATAGGAGTGGATGAGATGCATGCCGTGTTCTTGGGGATAGTGAAAGCTCTTTTCATTCTGTGGTTTTCTAGCAAGTTCAGTCAAGAGAAGTGGTCTCTCTCTAAATATATTAAAATTGTGGATAAGTACCTTTGTGCCATAAAGCCACCTGAATTTATATCGAGATTGCCACGTTCAATTGCACTACATATGAAATATTTTAAAGCTTCTGAGTTAAAAGCTTGGTTTTATTACTATTCACTGCCCATCTTGAGGACGATAATGCCAGCAATGTACTTTGAACATTATTCATTGTTGGTTACTGCAATTTGGTTGTTAAACCAGTCAAGTGTCTCAGCAGATGAGATTAACCGTGCAGAGGAACTCATCATTGATTTTGTGGCAAGATTTCCTGACTTGTATGACAAAAGATTCATGAGTGCAAATTTACATTTGTTACTACATTTAGCACAAAGTATACGAGATTTTGGTCCATTGTGGGTAACTTCTTGTTTTTCTTTTGAAAATGCAAATGGTCAATTGAAAAAACTTGCTACTGGAACCCGATTTTCTGGCCTCAAAATTTGTACTGGTCTCTCATATCTCATGGCAATCCCTGAATTGATACAAAACTTGAACAACAATAGTATTGTTTATGACTTCTGTGATCGTCTGAATAATTTTCAAGGAAAATACAAGTCGCATAATCTATCACAAGATTTGTGTGCAATTGGTGCCATGGGAAAAAACATCAGGATACCTGAATTCATCTTGGACGTGCTTCAATCATCAAAAATCAATGGTTCCAACTTGGGAATTTTCTACAGACTACGGAAATCAAGAATTCTCTATACATCAGAAATGTATCGACGCTCTACCAAGACTAATTCGAAGTGCGTTAAGTATTATCTCGATGATGAATGTCATTTCGGCATCATCAAATGTTTTTTACGAGTATCTGATTGTCAATGTCGATTGTATTGCGAAGCAGAGTGTGATGCGAAATACTTGGCAATCATCAAGACTTGTGATGTCGACAGGCCGTTCAACATTAGACGTAATCAAACAATTTCTCGAATTTACTCTTGTAATGTTACTGATAATATGATAGCAGGTAAGGTCTCAAATCTCTTAAATGTTTGCTTTTACTTGGAAGTTTCCAATAATACTGTGTATATTGTGGAACCCGTCAATTCAATTGAAAAAGAGTAAATCATTAGC